TATATATATACTTTAAGAATGTGAGTATTTTTTTTTAATTAGATCGAATAAAATCTATTAAGAGTAAGATAAAACTTTAAAACATCAAGATAGACCTCTAAAAAAATATTTACACTAAAATAATATATAATTTGGGTGTGGTCAAAAATTAGTTATTCACACATGGTTCTTAGCAATATTAACCGCTGCTTGATTGTCACAGAATACATCAATAGGTGTGAGAGATAAACCCCAAGTTCACCAAGCAACCGCAGAATCCAGGTGATCTAAGCAACTAACAATCATAATGCTCTATACTCTACCTCAACAAAAGACAATGCAATAGTAGGTTGTTTCTTGGATTTCTAAGAGACAGGGCACCCACCAAAAAATAAAATAAAGCAACTAACTCACTTCCTAGAATCATTGCAACTAGCCTAGTTAGAGTTGCAATAACCTTGAAGTGAAAAATCAGAAATAGCAGAAAGACGCAAACCTAAGCAAGAAGTACCAGCCAAGTATCTAAGAACATGCAAAACAACATCTAAATGAGGAACTTTGGGTGCTGACATAAACTGACTTAAATGTTGAATAGCGTAAGACAAATCAGGTCTAGTATGTTGAAGATAATTGAGTTTCCCCACAAGTCTTCTGTACATAGAAGGATCACACAAAAGATCACCCAATTCAGCAGACAATTTCACATGTGGATCAAGGGGAGCCACCACAGAGGAGACATCAGAACAGTGAAATTCAGACAGCATATCCATAATGAACTTATGTTGACTAATGAGAAAACCAGAATGCTCTTTAGTAATTTCCAAACCAAGAAAATAATGAATTTCTCCAAGGTCCTTAATCTTAAATGCAGTATCCAAAAAATGTTTAAGGTTGTCAATTTCAGTCAAATCGTCCCCAGCAACTAGAATACCATCAACATACACATCAATCACCATTAAAGACCCATTAACCAATTTAGTAAACAAGAGTAATCATTGAGACTAGGATGAAAACCTATAGATTGAAGAGCTGATGATAATTTGGCATACCATTGCCTTGAGACATGCCTCGGCCCATAAAGAGACTTATTTATCTTGCAAGCAAGAGTAGATGGAGAGGTAGAAAAATCAGATTGCATAATTAGATTAGGATGGAGATTCATAAACACTTCTTCATCTAAATCCCCATGTAAAAATGCATTATTAACATCCATTTGGAAAACACTCCAATTTCTTTTCACAGTAATAGACAATAAACATCTGATAGTGGTAAGCTTTACCACAGCAGAAAATGTTTCAGTGAAATCAATAACTTTTTGTTGATTGTCCCCTCTAATGACTAGTCTAATTTTATACCTTTCAATATAGCCATCAGCCTTTTGTTTAATCTTATACACCCATTTACAATAAATGGCCTTCTTCCCTGGAGGAAGAGATACAACGTCCAAGCATTGTTAGCCTCCATGTCCTGAAATTCTTTAACCATTACATCATGCCAAGCAGGACTGGATACTGCTTGATGATAAAACTAAGGTTCCAGCATACAAGACTTAGGAATTAAAAAATTAGTTTTAGAATTAGACACAGAGGTACACACATAATTACCCAAGTATGCAGGAGTTTGATGAACTCTGGTGGACTTTCCGAGAGTAGGAACATGAGGATCACATGGAAGAAGTCTGGGAGATCTCCTGAGGAGGAATAGATGTGCATGAAGGAATGGAAGTAGAAGATGGAATAGTAGGCAAAGAAGTTGAAGAAGGGAGAGGATCTGGAGAAGAGTCAGGATTATTCATAGGAGAAGGTGCAAGATTAGAATCAAAAGAGAAAGAAGTAAATAGATGAACTGAGAAAGAATCAGAGAAAGGGAAGACATGTTCATGGAAAACTACATCTCTGTAATGAAAAATGGTAGAATAGGACAAATTCATAAGCTTATAAGCTTTTTCCCAGGATTATGACCAATGAAAACAGATGATATTATTCTGGATTTGAATTTGTCTCTATGAGATTTTGGTACAGCAGCAAAGGCTAAACATCCAAATGCCTTAAGGTGAAAAAAAAAAAGGAGGAGCACCATATAGAAGTTCAAAAGGAGATTTGTGGTGTAATAAGGGAGAAGGAAACCTGCTTATCAAATAGGTGGCAGTTAGTACACATTCATCCCAGTACTTGATTGGGAGTTTAGATTGAAAAAGAAGTACTTTTGTTGTTTCTAGCAAATGTTTATGTTTGCGTTCTACCGCATCATTTTGTTGAGGTGTATGAACAAGAAGTTTGATGTAATATGCCTTAAGCAGACAAGAAAGAGATTGCCTCAGCACTACTTCCTAACTCAAAGGCATTGTCAGACCTAAAAGTTTTGACATGATAATCAAACTGAGTTTGAATCATAACCACAAATGACTTAAGTATGGTGAAATCATTTGATTTGGATGACAATAAATGAGTCAATGTTGCCCTGGTATAATCATCTACAAAAGTAACGAAGTATTTGAAATTATTATAGGTTTGTGTATGATAAAGTCCCCAAAATTGTTTTAAGCAAAGTTAGAAGCTGGCCGTAGGAAAGGAATTGAAGTTTAAAACATACGGGTTTCAGCGCCAGGTCCAGCACCTCGCGTGTCAAGACCCAAAATCCACTAAGGGTCGTGATGGCCCCGGACATCGCTGTCAGGCAAGCCAACTATATATACTTAATTAAATTCTCGTTTAAATAATTGTGAAAACTGCTTAATTAAATTCTCGTTTAAATAATTGTGAAAACTATGATTTTTTCTTCAATTTGGCTAGTAAAAGATAATCTTTACAAAATAAATAAAAGAATATTTGGAAGTTAATACAGAATACTCCATAATCATCCCAGAACCCGGTGTCACAAGTGCATGAGCGGTTTCTAGGAAATAATGTAATACAACAACTGTCCAGAATACAAATTGTACAGAAAAGAAAATACGGTACAATACTCTAAAGGAGACACTACTGGCTGCAGGTCGTCTCATGAGGTGCAACTCACCTAAGTCTTTGTATCAACCATGCCACTGCGCCCAACTAGGCCACTAGACATACATGTGCTTGTGCAACAGAAATGCACAACAAGTGTAGTATGAGTACAAAAACAACGTGTACCCAATAAGTATCCCGTCTAATCTTGAAGAAGTAGAGACGAAAGGTCGACTTCGACACTTACTAGTGGTCCAATAATAATGTACCAATAATATAAAAAATCAAGGATTTGTACATAAATTGCTATAACTCAATAGCATAAAGCAAGTAGACAATTCTTTCATTAATAGGGAATTTCCAAATCATTTTTCATCATCTATAAATTTATCTTGAGCCAGGGAAACAATATCATTATTTATAAATTTGCAAGTCAAGCAATACAAGCATGGGCAAATGTCACGACCCCGGTTCGCCCTCTGTGAACCATCGTGATGGCACCTAGTCTCTACGACTAGGTAAGCCTAAATTGTGAAAGATAAACCAATTTGCGAAATAAAAATAATTAAAAACAGAAATAGAGTGATATAACAGCGTTTAAAAGTTCCACTCGGCATACACAATATAAATTCTCGAAACTAATACATTTTCCCAAAACCTGAAAACCCATGAATCACAAGCTACAAATATAATAAAATGCTCTAACTCCGGAATGTCTACATCAACAGAAAAGATAGAAGGGTTGTCACTACAAGATAGAATGGAAAGGGACTCCTCGATTTGCGGAAGTAGCAGATATACCTCAAAGTCTCTGGAGTAGTGGTCTCCCCTCAAGGGTGATAGGACTGAGTCGCAGTACCTGGATCTGTACATGAAAAACATGCGCAGAAAGGGCAGGAGTACACCACAGCGGTACTCAGTAAGTTCCAAGCCTCACCTCGGTCGGGTAGTGACAAGGAAGGTCAGGGCCCTACTGAGATAAAATAAAAATATAAGGTATGGCAGTATAAGATAAGCAGTACAGTTGAAAACTAACAATAAGAATTTAATACAGGAAAACAAGGAATTCAATAACTGAAATAGAGGCAAAAATAGTCACAAGGAAATAACCAGGGATCTCTCAGTATCTCGAGGATATCTTAGTACCCTCAATATATGGCAGGGATCTCTTGGTATCCCGAGGATCTCTCGGTATCCTCAATATATGCTAGGGATCTCTTGGTATCCCGAGGATCTCTTGGTATCCTCAATATACGTGCTAGGGATCTCTTGGTATCCCGAGGATCTCTTGGTATCCTCAATATACGTGCTAGGGATCTCTTGGTATCCCGAGGATCTCTTGGTATCCTCAATATACGTGCTAGGGATCTCTCGGTATCCCGAGGATCTCTTGGTATCCTCAATATACGTGCTAGGGATCTCTCGGTATCCCGAGGATCTCTTGGTATCCTCAATATCCATGCTAAAGATCTCCTGGTATCCCACACCTTAGCCCAAATCATAAATACGTGCAGGGGATCTCCCGGGATGCCTTCCTGTAGTCCCAAAGTAAAACACGCAGCATCAACACAAGGAATACTCATTTAAGCTCAATTTTGTACCAAGTGAACATGTAATTCTAACCTAACATGCTTCACGTAATACAATTAAGGCAGGTTAAGCAAGTAAGCAATTAAGTCAATTAAACATGCTTTTCTAGGCTAACAACATGCTTAAATTGCAAGTAGTATAAGACAGGAAAAAGGAACACAATTCTAATTACTTAAAGAAAACCGGATTTTCAACAATTAGCTCAAGAAAGCACTCATCACCTCACGTACAAGGCATTTCAATTATCAAATACATCAAATTCTAAGGGGAAGGTCCCCCACACAAGGTTAGGTAAGCCACTTACCTCGAACTAGCTCAAATCAATCTGAAACCACGCTCTTGCCACGAGTACTCAACTCCAAATGGCCTAAATCTATTCAATTCAATTTCATAATGTAAATAACACTTCAAGTAACTAATTCTACAAAGAACTTCTAAGCTAATACATGAAAATAGGTAAAATGACCAAAATGCCCCTCGGAATCAGGTAAAATTTATATTTCCAGAATCCTTACACTCTCACGAGTTTAGTCATACCAAAAGTACCAAAATCGGACCTTAATTGATCCCTCAAATCATCATTTAAAGGCCTATAATTAGTCAAGCCCTAACCCCCAAATTACCATTTATTTTCCTTAATTTTTCATGCTTATAATGATAAAAATCACTCCAATAACGAGTTTAGGGACCAAACACCTTACCCCAATGAACTCCTCTAAAAATCCTTCTTGAAAAATGCTCCCCAAGCTTCTTCCCGTTTGAAAAGAGGTGAAAAATAGCTAAATTTCGCGAAGGCAAGCATTTATATGTTTCTGCCCAATGATCACCGCATATGCGGTCAAGGTCCCGCACCTGCGGAAGAATGCATAGTAGGTGCAAAAAGTCACTTAATGGGCTGGGTCTGCATCTGCGGTCGCTTTGCCGCATCTGCGGCACCGCATTTGCGAAAACCCAGCCGCACCTGCGGATCCTGGAGCTCTGGGCCAATCTTGCTTCTGCAGCCTCATAGCCGCTTCTGCGGCGCCGCACCTGCGGTCCCACACTCACAGGAATGGTTATGACAGAAAACCAGCAGCTGAAGTTGCAACTCCAAACTCCAAAATCCCTCCATCAACCATCCGAAATCATCCCGAGGCTCCCGGGACCTCAACCAAAGGCACCAACAAGTCTAATACCACTGTCCAAACTTATACCAATCCTTAAAACACCTAAAACAGCATCGAAATGACGAATCAACCACGGATTCAAGCCTAAAAATTCCAAAACTCTAAAAATACGCTTTCGATCAAAAAGTCTATCAAACCTCGTCCGAATGACCTAAAATTTTGCACACACGTCACATTAACACTAGGAAGCTGCTCTAAATTCTGGAATTCCATTCCGACCCTCGGATTAAAATCTCACTATCGAACCGGAAACTTCAA